GTATGTAAGGAAAAGGATATTTTAAAACCAGCAAAGCCAGGGATTTTGATAAACGGCTGATTCCAGATATGGCTATGAGAAGAATGATATAATCCTGGAAAATATAGTTGTGCTATAAAGCAAAGAAGTGCTCAGAATCGAGTACGGACATACCAATAACACATGGGTGCTGACTTCAAGAAGCTCACGCTGGCTCCATTGCTTGGCACCTACCACCTTAATGAGAATGGATCTCTGTGAACCATCAGCCTATAGAGTTCATCCCAAGAACTTCATTTCATGGAATCAAACCCAGAATTCTAGCCTGCTGCCAGTATTGGGAGGAAACAATTGAGCATGCACAAATGAGAGAGAAAGAGAGAAGGTATGGGGTGAGAGGGGAGGGGACGTGAGGGCAGACAGAACACGTCCAGCCACCAGATATATTGTGTAAAGCCAAAGAGCTCGTCTCTGCTCATGTGATTCAATACAAGGACCACGGAAACATGATCCAGGAACTCTGAGAGTGCAGGTCTACGCGCTGTGCACTGTCAGGCACGGGATTCTATTGGCTCCAATGGTTTGTCTCAACTGGGATTATTTTTTCTGAAAAAACAAACACTCAAGGATAAAAGGCCATTCTGAGTTTTCAGGCATACACCTAGTTTGTTCTCAGCAGCTCTTCTGGGAGAATCTGAGGTTTAGTTCTCCTGTGGTGGACAAGACTTACTAGGCGAGGTCTCCTCTCTGCCTTTACGTGAGAGGATCTACAGAGCGGACACATGTGGCACTTTACATTTTACAGTGAGGGTCACGTCCCTGGATGGGCGCAAACCATCACCCATTCAGCTAACAGGCAAAGGCGCTAACCAGTTGTGCCGCAGAGACCCAGAGGACTTGCAGTGCTCATCTCAACAGACGTGAGCACACTCTAATTGCTGAGTGGTGCCCCTGGTCTTCTGGGCAGGCTCCAAATCTTCAGAAAACCTGACAGATTGGGGCGACAAATCTTCTTCATCAGGTTTGAAACCTGTGAATTGGGTGATACTGAAGTTAGATAGTCAGCTAAACGGCCTTGGCCTGGACTTGCACCTCACCTGCCACAGAAGCCAGTGGCCCCTGGATATGCTTGTGTTCTCAAACCACCACCACTTCTCCCCTGCCCGCCTGAGCTTAGTGGGGCCCAGAGGAAGCTGAATATCCTATGGGCTCCCGTGATGGATCTCCCCGTTGTTTAGTCCGCCTTCTCCCTACCGTCTAAGCCACTTGAGCTCCTCCTGCTCAACTCAGTTGTGTTCGGTGGGGTCAGTGGGGCCAAAAATTACTCTACATAAATCACAACGTTACTCTACATAACGGAAACAGAATGATGACCCACGCTCAAGATAAGACAATCACAGGAGACTGACCATGGAAGATCACCCAAATGTTGGAAATAGGAAGCAAGAACTTTTAAGCTATAATTTCAACTATGTTGAAGATTGTAAAGGAAAATATTGTTGCTGTTAAGTGTTGTCGAGTCAGTTCCAACTTATAGCGACCCTATGTACATCAGAATGAAACTCTGCCTGGTCCTGTGACATCCTTACAATCCTCATTATGCTTGAGCCCATTGTTCCAGCCACTGTGTCAGTCCATCTCATTGAGGGTCTTCATCTTTTTCCCTGACCCTCTACTTTACCAAGCATGATGTCCTCCAGGTACTGGTATCTCCTGATAACATGTCCAAAGTATGTGAGATCAAGTCTCGCCATCCTTGCTTCCAAGGAGCATTTTGCTGTACTTCTTCCAAGACAGAATTGTTTGTTCTTCTGGAAGTCCATGGTATATTCAATATTCTTTGCCAACATCATAATTTCAAAGGCATCAGTTCTTCTCTGGTCTTCATTATTCATTGTCTAGCTTTCTCATGCATATAAGGCAATTGAAAATACCATGGCTTAGTCGGGGCAACTTAGTCCTCAAAATGGCATCTTTGATTTTTAACACTTTCAGAGATCTTTTGCAGCAGATTTGCCCAATGAAATATGTCATTTGATTTCTTGACTGCTGCTTTCATGGGCGTTGAGTGTGGATCCAAGTAAAAGGAAATCCTTGACAACTTCAATCTTTTCTCCGTTTATCATGTTGCTTATTGGTCCAGTTGTGAGGATTTTTGGTCCATAGCAGAACAAAAATATAACCATAATAAATTAAAAGATAGTGATTCTTAATCTCCTTCAACAATAATAAATGAAGGAGCAATGTAAAATTTACAACTGAAAGAAAAAGTTCTCAAATTACAAAACTTTAGGGACTTAACTGCATTTTGGAGATGACAGATAAACTTAAAAAGAAATAGAAATCATCCTACCTGAAGGACAGAGAGGGGAAAAAATGGAAAAAAATTAACAGAGCTTCAGGAACCTGCGGAGTAATATCAGAAGTTCTAACACACATACATCGGAGTGGAAGAAGGAGAGCAAAGAGAGAACAGGCAGGGAAAAATATTGATAATTATCCAAATTTGGTGAGAAATGTATATTTACCACACAAAGACGCTTTCCTTGTTGCCTAGAGCACGCTAGAGTATGTCCTGTTTAAGGAGAGGGTATGACCTATAGACAACTCACGGCTACATTTACATACGAGTCAGCCCTTCATGTCCTCGCCCAGAGCCCAGCTCCCTCGTCCTCATAGGTGTCGCCTCCAGTCTCCTGTTCTAAACGCCCAGTAAGCAATTTACCAGCAAATGCCGCCGAAGACTCTCAGCAGACAAGCCCATTTCCGGGGAACTCACAAAGGCCATGACTTCAGCTGGTTGTGCACCTGGGGCAGCGGTGGCAAAGAGGGTGGGCTTGGGCACGAACACACTGTGTGTTTGAATCTCTGCACAAGTCTGTAACTTTGGCCAGGATGCTTAGTAGCTCTCTAAAGCCACTCCTCCCGTGTGTGAAACGTACATAAGGCAAAACCTATGGAACCTAAGAAAGGAGGAAGCGTACCTAATAGGGCGTTCTGCCAGGAGCATGGGGGCTGGGTGGCCAGCATCAGGTTTGAAAGCGTCCAGCAGCCTGCTATGTTGTCTTCTCCCTTGCCTGAGTTGGGGAGGTAGTTAGTTGCCAGGGCTCTTCAGTGTCTGACCATTGCTGTGCACCACCGCTCCCGGGATAAAGATTCCTGCGGAGACATTGCAAAAAGCATTCCCTGACCGGGAATGGAACCCAGGCCACAGTGTTCACCACGGAATCCTAGCTACTGGATTACCAGGGAAGTACTGGTCCTTCTTTCTCGAGATCCATGGGTAATAACACTGTGGGCACTGAGCTCCAAAGTTCAGGCCCACGTACCCTTCTGGATGTCACCCCAAAGGTCATTCACTCCCTGCTTCCTCCAGAAGACCTGCCAGGTTCACAATTTACGGAGCAAGTTGACTCATCTGGGCTAGAGCGCAGACCTGACCTAGAGATGCACCTTTGAGAGTGTGAAGAGATGGTTGCGTGATCCAGGGCAGTGGAGGAGGTTGTGGGAGGAGTTGGGAGGGAAGGCGCCGAGAGTGAAAAGGGGTCTAGCACTGACTGCTAGCCCCCATCTCAAAAAAACAAAGAAGGACTCCTGTGCACAAACAAGACAGTCTGTATGGAAATCACTTTAAAGCAAGTTATTGGCCCTGAACTGAACTGCTGATGTTCCCCCTAAAATCTTCTGCACCTGCATTTTTTCCATATTAGTTGATGGCAACTCCATCCTTCCAATGCTCATAGCAAAAACTGAGAGTTCTTCTTGACATCGATCTTTTCCTCAAACTCCATATCTAGCTAGTCACGGATTCATGTTTTCTTGTTGGTAAAGTGTGGACATTGATCTACAGAATCCTTTCTTTTGTGATTTCTGAATTTAGCCAACGACTCTCCTAATAAAGGGAGGAGATTATTTTAACTCTCGACCCTCGGCTCCTCCAGACCTTAGGGTTCAGGACTCTTAATCTCAGGATCGTGGGGTTCAGCTGTCTTTGCCCCTTTTCGTTATCTTTGTCCCTCAAAATCAGCCTTCTTGACCTGTCCTCTAGGCCTAGTGACAAGGCATAGACACATCACTGAAGCTCCTCCAGCCAAGTCAGGACCCTACACCCTACCTGATAGGCCTGCAGAGAAGCTTCAGGAGACACGTTATTGGGTTTGTCCGACTGGATTTGGCCAAGGGTAGGTAGGTGTGTTTGGAGGGGTGGGAAGCAGTGAGTTTGTGGTTCCTCAGGTGGCGCCGGCTGCTCTTTACCCTCTTTCGGGGAAAGGTCAACTGCCCTCTGTCTTCTCCAGGAGACACCAGAGGGTCCACACGTGACAGAAAAGCTGCGAATCTTCTCTAGGTGGGCGGGGGAGGCGGGAGATAGATTGAAGAGGGAAGGAAGGGGGGAAAAACATGCTATGAAATTTCCTGATCTAAAGTGAAGACGGTCTTGTCTAGAACCGAAGCCTAGGTTGCTGGTTAGGGTGATATATTTCAGTTGTACCCCTATCTGCACTCTGAGTCAAACTAGAACAAAGTCAAACATTGCGTTCTGGTTTCCAGTGAGCAGGCAGGTCTGTGCCTTCACCAGGGTGGGAGCACTTGAACTTTGAGCGTGAAGGCAATGTGGTGAGCACTGCACCAAGAACAGCAACTGTCGGAGGAGAGGGCACATTCTTCCCCAAATTTCTTTTTAACTTCATTTATAAAGGAGACTATCGTCAATATCATCAGTCAGAAAAAGGCCAGGGGCCGACTGCAGAACAGACCATCAATTGCTTATATGCAAGTTGAAACTGAAGTTGAAGAAAATTACAGCAGGTTCATGAGAGCCAAAGTGTGACCTTAATATATTCCACCTGAATTTAGAGACCATCTCAAGAATAGACATGATGCATTGAACACTAATGACCGAAGACCTGACAGGTAGTGGAATGACATCAAGGCTATCGTACATGAAGAAAACAAAAAGTCATTAAAAAGACAAGAAAGAAAAAAGACCAAAATGGATGTCAGAAGAGACTCTGAAACTTGCTCTTGAATTTAGAGTAACTAAAGCGAAAGGAAGATATAATGAAGTAAAAGTGCTGAACAGAACGTTTCAAATGGCAGCTTGAGTAGACAAAGTAAAGTATTATAATGAAATGTGCAAAGACCTGAAGTTAGATAACCAAGAGAGAAGAACATGCTCAGCATTTCTCAAGCTGAAAGAACTGAAGAAAAAATGTAAGCCTTGAATTGCAATATTGAAGGCTTCTATGGGTAAAACATTGAATGACACAGGAAGCATCGAAAGATGATGGAAAGAATACAGAGTCACTCTACCAGAAAGAACTGGTTGACATTCAGCCATTTCAGGAGGTACCATATGATCCAGAACCAATGGTTTTGAAAGAAGAAATCCAAGCTGCACTGAAGGCACTGGTGAAAAACAAGGCTCCAGGAATTGAAGGAATACCGAGATGTTTCAAGAAACAGATGCAACACTGAAAGTGCCCGCTTGTCTATACCAAGACATTTGGAAGACAGCTACCTGACCAATTGACTGGAAGAAATCCATATTTGTAACCATTCCAAAGAAAGGTGACCCAACAGAATGTGGAAACTATTGAACAATATCATTAATACCACATAGAAGTAAAATTTTGCTGAAGATAATTCAAAAATGGTTGCAGCAGTACATCGTTGGGGAACTGCCAGAAATTCAAGCCAGATTCAGAAGCGGATGTGGAATGAGGGATATCACTACTGATGTCAGATGGATCTTGGCTGAAAGCAGAGGATACCAGAAAGATGTTTACCTCTGTTTTATTGACTATGCAAAAGCATTTGACTGTGTGGATCATAACAAACTATGGATAACATTGTGAAGAATGGGAATTCCAGAATACTTAATTGTGCTCAGGGGGAGCCTGAACTTAAATGAAGAGGCAGTCGTTCAAACAGAACAAGGGAATGCTGCATGGTTTAAAATCAGGAAAGGTGTGAGTCACAGTTGTATCCTTTTACCATACTTATTCAATCTGTATGCTGAGCAAATAATCAGAGAAACTGGACTATATGAAGAAGAACTCGGCATCGGGATTGGAGGAAGACTCATTAACAACCTGTGATATGCAGATGACACAACCATGCTTGCTGAAATTGAAGAGGACTTGGAAGTACTTACTGATGAAGATCAAAGACTACAGCCTTCAGTATAGATTACACCTCTGCATAAGGAAAACAATAATCCATACAAATGGACCAATAACTAACCTCATGATAAACGGAGAAAAGATTCAAGTTGTCAAGGATTTCATTTTACTTGGATCCACAAAAAACACCCATGGAAGCAGCACTCAGAAATCAAATGACTTACTGCATTAGGCAGATCTGCTGCAAAAGACCTCTTTTCAGTGTTAAAAAGCAAAGATGTCACTTTGAGGACTAAGGTGCGCCTGACCCAAGCCATGATATTTTCAACTGCCACATGCGCATGCGAAAGCTGGACAACGAATAAAGAAGACAGAAGAAGAATTGATGCTTTTGAATTATGGTGTTGCCAAAATACTGAATATACCATGGACTAGCCAGAAGATGAACAAATCTGTCTTGGAAGAAGTACAGCCGGAATGCTAATTAGAAGGGATGATGTTGAGACCTCCTCTCATGTACTTTGGACATTTTATCAGGAGGGACCAGTCCCTGGAGAAGGACATCATGCTCGGTAAAGTGGAGGGTCAGCGAAAAAGAAGAAGACTCTCAATGAGATGGATTGACACAGTGGCTACAAGGATAGGCTCAAGCATAGCAACTGCTCTGAGGATGGCACAGGACTGGGCAGTGTTTCACTCTGTTGTACACAGGGTCGCTATGAGCCAGAACCAACTCGACGGCACCTAACAACAACAAGACGTCAGTCAGGAACAAAATTGTCACCAGCGTCCTGGAGGGAGTGGGGTTGTAGGACAATGCTGACTTTATGTAAGATTTTCGATCAGGAAATTCCTTAAGGTTCTCCTCTCTTCTAGTGCCTGAATCTTCTCCACAGGCTGACACAGAAACTGAGTAAGTGTCCATGACAGCACAAGAAGTATGTCCTGAGGGTCCCACTTGGCTTTCCTACACCCGAGTATGGCTGCAGAATAAATTGATTTGCCTGAAAGCAAACCAACCTAAATCTGAATCTGTCAAGGACATGCAGAGTCAATATTCCATATACACAACAATTAAATATATATATTATATTAACATTTGATTACATACCTCTAGCCCTGGTGGCACAGTGATTAAGAGCTCTGCTGCTAACTGAAAGGTCGGCAGTTCGAATCCACCAGCTGCTCCTTGGAAACCCCACGGGCAGTCCTGCTCTGTCCTGTAGAGTCGGAACCAACTTGATGGCACCTAACAACAACATACCCAGACAGTCCTTCTCAGAAAACGAGAAGGGCCTCAACTGCCATCTTCTGCTTTGTCCCTGCATCTCCCAGCTCTGCTTTAACGGGTTCAGGGTCACTGCCTCCAGAATTTGCTTCACCTTCGCTCTATTCTCTGATGCGCATAGGCTCTCTGGCACCAGACGAAAGCGTGTGCCTGGAAGTGAGAGTTCCTGACACGTGAAGTGGTTCATTGCTGATGGATTGAGAATTGTCAAAAGATACTCAGACGATGAGCATGGAGGGAAGCAGGGTTCAGATCCTAAAGGTAATAAGACATTTTCTTAAAGGAATTGAGGACGGTAAGTGGATTTAGGCTGCACATATGTCCAGATACGGGCTTGGAAGAGTCACTCAGGATGCAGTGTGGCAAATGGACTGGAGTGGACTAGGCTGGGTGTAGGAAGGCCTGCTTTATATCTGCCTGTATTAAGGGAGCTAAGAGTTGATGGATAAAAAAGCGTGGTCAATAATAAATGCAATTTCTTTTCCCCAGTTTACTTCTCCAGGGATAACTGAGGAAAGAAATGCAGTCCACTAATTGACTAATATATTAATGTTTCAACCATCAAAATTTCTCTAAAACAGTTTGCACTTCAGTAATGTACTGTTCGCACAAAATCTGAGGAATAAGGGGTGAGGGACATGGCCCATACACGGACTACGGCAGGGAGTTTGGATTTTACTGTAAACGCATTAAAAGTTTTTTCTGGTTTCCTGTAAAAGAGCCCAGCTGATATTTGAAATACGTTTACCAGGAAAACAGTTATGACCATATCCTCTCAATAGTGGAAGGTACGCATAAAGCTGAATGAGAGGCATTTCACCTTTTGCC